TTTACAGGATTAGAAAGATTGATACTTATGCCACTAAGAGATGCAAACATTTTAAATAAACTAAAACATGGGGCAGGAAGATTGGTGATTTCCATGACCTGTGTTCCAGTACCATTTTAATGTGTGTTAATGCAACTTGTGTTATTGTGTGCTTAAAATTTGTGTGGAGATGGACGTGATGGTATTTGTGTAAATGATTTATCCACCTTGGGTGCCATGGCAAAGAGCTGTCTTGGGTGTTTTTGTGTTTGTTGCACTGCGAGAGGTTGCAGAACTGTTACTATCTATGAACAACCTTCTACGTTTAAATGTCAACATTTACAACAGGAAAGAAAATTTTTAATTTTGGGGCTGGCTATTCAGCATTGTATATGCCTCAAGATCTCTTCATCCTGTTCTGTGTATAGTGATAAAATCAGACTCTTAAAATGGGCTTTTGTTCCTACAGCCTTTTAATTTGGAAGTAAATATTATAAAGGCTCAGAGAATGTGGTTGCTGATGCTCTATCTAGATGTTTCACGTAGATGCATGGTGCGTACTTTGTACATAGTGTTTGTATGTGCTGACCTTGTTGTTTTTGCAAGTGGTGAACTCTCGGCGAGCTGAGTACTCTCTACAGCCATTGATGTGAGGAGTCGAGTCGGAGCCAAAAGTGTGACTAGGGTCAGTTGTATATTTAATGTGAGTTGTGGCAGTGGTTGACAACCTTCGGTAAACATGAGACTTTCAGGAAGGTATGTGATGTTGTGTTTTGGTGTTGGCCTCTATATACCAACGGCCCCGACGATTTGCCTTTGTGGTTCCCTTGGACCACCTCCATGTTCTATGCAGCCTCCTCTTCATAAGTTTGGAGGATCTGTGTGGGAAGTGGGACCTCGGAATATGGGCTTGAGTGCCTGACCTGTAAGGATCGTGTGAGTGTTGACTGAAGTCTCACTGTTTGTTTCGGCCACAAGTGAGAGACACCTTTGACTTGTTTTGTGAGTTTCCTGCCTGGTGTACACCTGACTGTCTGGGTTTGGCTTACTCTCGTCTCTGATCAGGAAGGATGCCCACCTGGCAGTACCAGTTGCTTGCTGGTTTACCATAGAGGAGTCACAGGCCTGGTGGTGCGGGCTTTCACAGTGGGAATGGCTGTGCAATTTTGCATTGCAATGTGTATTGTTAAAAGTCACTGAAATTGTAAATAGTTACACCCTTGGAGTATATGGGTATGGTTAAAATCCTTTTCTAAAAAAATCTGCAATCTGTTTTAAATAACATAAAGTGAAGAGTAGTTATGGTGCTGGGAAATATGTAGCATTTCTAGTAGTCTTGCTTACCACCTTCAGACTTAAGCAATATACTTTTACTAGCCGTATCCTGAGCGACACGGCTAGCTTTTGTGAGACTTCGTCTGGAGGTGGGGGTGTTATGGGGCTATAGGACCCAACATGTATTTATAAGTAACAGTTACTCTGGAATACCTAATTATATTGAATTGATGGGACTCAGTTCTAAATGTCATAAGGGCTGATCACCCATAGGACTGAGAGGCAGCTGGGTCAAGCCTTTTTCTCAATATAATAGGTTATACTATAGACACACAAACACACAATTTAAAGTTGTATTTCTTTTGTAAAAGTAAAAATTAAGGTGTGGTAGAATTGAGATAACTGGAGAATTGTGCTTGACAACAGTCTTTTGTTTTTGGTGGGTGTTGGAGGAGCTTAGCTAGGCTCCTCCCTCCCTCTCTCTCTCTCTCTCTCTGTTTTGGTTGACATGAAGGTGGAAGGACCTCTGGGTCCTTCTTTCTATCTTTTTGGGGCAGTCTGTGTGCTCCAGGGGTGAGTTTTTATAACTTAAGTTGTGGTCACCATACCCAGGGTGACTAAAAGTGTGTCAAAAACATAGGTTAGCCCAGAGTTAGTGAAGAAAGAGAGGACAAAGTTGCTGGACTGCACCTTGTGGGGAAGAACAGCTATGGGTGTGTAGGATTTTTGTTTTGAAATGTGAGGCTGTAAATGTATCTTCTGTACATATCTATTTAGAATACAGTTATATTTTTATAGTAGTAGTTTAAATAACCTGTGAAGAGGGCTGGTGAAAGGATATCAGAGACACTCAAGATGATCAGCCATGATGTAAGTATTACCCCTAGACAGATAAGGCCATTAAGTAAAAAGCTACCCCACACTAGAACATGTAGTGAGAACCTAACTATCAAAGTATAAGGACAAACCACATAACCATGCACTCTTTAACAAAAGTTGTAGGCTCTTCACAACAAGTTGTGTGCACTTACAACAAGTTGTGGGCACTTCACAACAGTTTGTGGGCACTTCACAACAAGTGTGGGCATTTCACAACAAGTTGTGGGCACTTCACAACAAGTTGTGGGCACTTCACAACAAGTTGTGGGCACTTCACAACAAGTTGTGGGCACTTCACAACAATTTGTGGGCACTTCACAACAAGTTGTGAGCACTTCACAACAAGTAGTTGGCACTTCACAAAAAGTGGCTGCTAATTCGACGTCAGTGGAGAGTCAAATTCAAGTGCACAGATGAACACTTGAGTTCCCTTTATTTTTTTTTTCTCATTTCATGACGTTAAATTAATTTCAGTTTATCTCGTCTGAACAACTTCATTATTTAATGTTTGATGAATCTGGCACTTTTGATTTTGTGTTGGTAAATTTGTCTGTACAGTAAATAAGTCAAAAAAACTTGAAATCCATGTTATAACTGGAGAATGACTCGTCTGATCGGCATCAAATTTTTGTCAATATTGTGGCTTACTGAAGGTGAAGTTGGTGCTGTTATTGGATGATATAATAATAATAATATAATATGTTTATTTACTACCAGTACATGTACAAGGTATAAAGACAATAGCTGACATCAGTGACACACTACTATATAGAAAGCTGCTTGTTATGCTTGTTATGTGAGCAAATTAAGTCACTGTCCCAGGATGCGGGCCTGCACAGTCGACTAAACTCCCAGGTATAAATTTTACTGATGGTGAACATAAACAACCGGTGTAAAGAAACACGTCCAATGTTTCTACCCGCATTGGTAATCGAACCCAGATCCTCGCCGTGTGAAGCGAGAGCTTTAGCCACCAGGCCACCAGAGCCTCTATAAATCGCTATTTACCAATTTTATTGAAAAAAAAAACAGAGATATTTGTATTCATTAACTAAGAAATGCTGCTGCTGATCGGCTCCAAACCTTAAACTCCAGTGCTGATTAATTTGATGTGTTTTTGTAACGCTTTTTGCGTTGTATAGGAGAAAATTTACAAATGTTTTAAGCAATTTTCTCATATTAGATTATGTTTAAAAAATATGCAAATCAAATCGCTTTTTCTTATTGGATAACAGAGAATTTTATATAGTATATAAATAACAAAAAGAAAAAATCTCGTTTTATGCAGTTTTTAAATTTTACGAGAATAAACTTTCATGTTTTCAGAACATTCTCAGACATTTGTTTTTCTTACAACAAATTTTTAAAACTTGAGAACGTCTTAATCGCTCGGCTTCAAACTTTCAATGGTGATGTACTGTAAATAAGACAAGATTCCTGGTATTATTTACTGTCCTGGATGTCTTATGGACAATTTTACATTAGTTATTCCCACATTTTATTTCCATGTGATAACTTGGCGAGTAATATAACTCTGGTTTTAAAATATCGTTACTGAGAAGAAAATTGATGTTGTAAATGAAGTCTTAGATGTTTGTTTACACTTTTAATTTTGAAATATTATAGTATTATTAACAATTTTTCATTATTTTTCCTTGATGCTGTGATAAAGGGCTCTTGATCCAAGGACATATTTACCCTTCATTACATTACATTTAAATGGCCTAACATTGACAAGTGTTATATGACCCTTACTGTTTTAGTGCTTTCCCTCCAGTAAAATATAACAACTCTGATTAACATCAAATATCAGGAAATTTGTTTTGCGTTAGTCTGTGTTGACTAACAAAAGTCTGATTCTGTGAGGTAGCTGTTGAACGCTTCTTCAGGTTGGTTTGAAACTTACACTGCTGACCTGTTATCCTCAAAGCTCGTTTTAACTTAAAGTTAAGTAGTTTTAATTGTGGCAGTTCTATTAATAAGTTGGTTTCTGTGAAATAATTGGAAGAAGAAGGAGAGAAAGTCTCTTGTGGTCAGAAACAGATCTCAGGGTGACTTTATTGATCTTAGTTAAATTAACATAATTGTTATATATGTGCACATAACATTGTGTGCTCAAAGGAGAACTATGTAAAAATGAGTACATTATTACAATATTTTTAATGATAATGAACTAATTACGTACATGCATTATTTACTTTAACCTTATACGCGGCTAAATGTCAGCTAGAGGAAGTTGGTCTGATTAGTCCTGGGTTGGTCCTAATTTGCTTTTTTTTGTAGAATAATTAGAGGAATTTAAAAAAAATATTTTCATATGATAATTTGTGAGTCCTCACACAATTAACTTTCATCTTCATCGTTGTTAACTTTATAATGCAACTTTGATCACTTCAAACTAAATGAAACTATTGTGTTGTAGGATATTGTAGTACTTAGTTAACAAGGACAATACCTCTTCAGTTGGCTTCAAAAACTGATGAATCTTAGTAGTATGATAGATTAAGTTTCAGGGCTAATATGTCTTATTTGCCCTTATAATCCAAGAAATTGTTAATATTAGTGTCCATGTGAAAACTTGTGAATGCCTAACGTGATTTGCTTCAGGTCATCAACACTAATACTTAACTGCATTATAAACTTATCCCGCACGCTGCACTAATTATTCTGGCTGTATTGACATATATGGGACAGAAGTTAAGGGCCCCCCCCCCCAATATAAGGATACTATCTATAACTGCACAGCCAACGATGACATCTAATATTTATTGTTAACAATAACATAACATTACCTAGCCTAATGTGGGGGGGAAACATTTTATATAAACGCATGTAAAGTGCGATATAGAACTTCAGATCAGACTGACCTGCAACTCTCTCAGCTTTCTCAACATTACGACAAGCAAGGATGACCCGGGCGCCGCGCTGAGCCAAGTCTCGAGCTGTCTCCTTCCCGATACCTGTCAAACATTACTATGTTAAGTTGTCTCCTTCCCGATACCTGTCAAACATTACTATGTTTAGTTGTCTCCTTCCCGATACCTGTCAAACATTACTATGTTAAGTTGTTTCCTTCCCGACACCTGTCAAACATTATAATGACACGTTGTTTCCTTCCCGATACCTGTCAAACATTACTATATCAAGTTCTCTCCTTCCCAATATCTGTCAAACATTATAATGATACGTTGTTTCCTTACCGATACCTGTCAAACATTACCATGTTGAGTTATCTCGTTCCCGATACCTGTCAAACATTACTGTGTTAATTTGTCTCCTTCCCGATACCTGTCAAACATTACTATGTTAAGTTGTCTCCTTCCCGATACCTGTCAAACATTACTATGTTAAGTTGTCTCCTTCCCGATACCTGTCAAACATTACTATGTTAAGTTGTCTCCTTCCCGATACCTGTCAAACATTACTATGTTAATTTGTCTCTTTCCCGATACCTGTCAAACATTACCATGTTAAGTTGTGTCCTTCCCGATACCTGTCAAACATTACCATGTTAAGTTGTGTCCTTCCCGATACCTGTCAAACAATTGTAATTGTCGATAACAGTCTCATCAACTGTAACTATTGATAACAGTGTCATCAAGTGTAACTGTTGATAACTGTCCCATCAAGTATAACTGTTGATAACAGTTTCATCAAGTGTAACTGTTGATAACGTTCTCATCATGTGTAGCTGTTGATAACAATCTCATCTACTGTAACTCTTGATAATAGTCTCATCAAATGTAACTGGTTTCACTTCTCCAACTCATCACTATTTCAAAATAATATGGTCGACATTTCAATTATAATCTATTTTTAAACCGTTTAACTCATATTCCATGTGGTTGACACCTCTCAGGAAGGGAGCGGTGGATTTCCATCTTCAGTCCTCTAAACCAAACGTGCATTTTTCTTCGATAATCCCACTAAATCAGGAATAATGATAATTTGAACGTTTAGAAAAATATATATAGAAAACTTAATACTGTAGTGGCAGACAAGCAGTTTGTAGGACATACCTGCAGATGCTCCTGTGACAATGGCTGTCTTACCCACCAGTCTTGTTTTGGAGGTACATCGTCCTGACTGGTAATGGTAGATGAACTTGACAGTCAATATCAGCACCACAACAGCTGCCACCACAGTCGTGACCACACAGCACACCATGTTTGCTGCTTGTCTGTACACACACAAAAACATAAATTTTTGCAAAACATGAATTATGTTCTTACATGAATACACATTCATCGAATTGTTCATTTTTACTTCTTAAATTTATCCGTATATGTAAATAAACAAAAGGACAGATTAGGGAGAAAATAGTGGACCATAAATTTACAGTCCAATGTTCTACCATCTCTACCAGTGATCTTCCTTCTCTATCAGAACCTCAGTAGCCAAGGCGGTAGAGCGTCGAAGTGTCAGTTTATGAACCGCGATTAGCTCCCCTTCCCTTCCCCGTCCATCCTTGTGTTAATTCGTTGACAGTTGTTTATTACACTTAATCTCAGTTCATAGACTATAATTCTTTGTGGGAAGTAAGAATAGATATACTGTAAAAGCTATTGGGCCGTGGAAAAGAAGCCAATTAAGTTACATTTAGTGCCTTTGACTGAAATATGTACACAAGTACCACTTCCCAGCCTACTTCATCACAGGCTCAGTAGCCGAGGTGGTAAAGCGGTGGATTGTCAATTTACGGACCGTGGTTCACTTCCCTCGTCCGTCCTTCTGTTTATTCTTGATTGTTGTTAATTACAACTTCATCTGACATAATAAGTGTATGTATATTATAACTCAATTGATAATAAGAAGGTGTAGTGTGTTTCACTGCGTCTGTGAAGACTAAAAATATTCGGTTTAACCCTGAATAACGGATAAGTAACTACTATAGTCATAAGATATGAAACGAGTGATGGTAGCATTGAGGTGCAGGGAATCACAGCATACATAAATTGAGCATACGACCGTTACCTCTACTAAACAGGGAATAATCTTTTCCTTAGAAGTGTAGGGGGAAGTTAGCGTAGGCCTAAGTGAAGTGTGGAGTGTGGGCAAGTCTGGCTCACACCCACCCTGCACCCACCCTACACCACCACCCACCCTGCACCCACCACCCACCCTACACCACCACCCACCCTACACCACCACCCACCCTACACCCACCACCCACCCTGCACCACCACCCACCCTGCACCACCACCCATCCTGCACCACCACCCACCCTACACCCACCACCCACCCTACACCCACCCTACACCACCACCCACATACTGCAAACTTGGTTCGTATAAATACATCTTGCATATTACTGGCACCAGCAAGAGAAAGGTAAAGTGGAAATCAGTTTTCTTCCGTGGCATACAGTGTAGTAGGATACAGACAGGATGTCAGCACAGCATATCTGTGGGACATGTAAAAAAAATCCTTGGAAGGAATTCCAGAATCATATGCAACCTATGCTCTTTCAAACACCATATCTCTTGTACTAGACTAAATACAGCCTCAAAAAATGACCTCGAACTAGCAAGGTGCTTCTGGTTGTGCAATAAAGATGTAGAACTTTGGGCAGGTATCAGAAAGGTACTAAGGAGAGTAATAAATGATAAAAATAATCAAGAAAACAAGGATGACCTCTTGGATAGTCTACCAAAAATATATAAAACATGGGAGAAAGAGATAGTGTATCAAAAAATGCAGAATGTCCATACCACAACAGATGACTCGAATCTACCTAGTCACCCACATGGTCCTAAGCTAGACCCATCCCCCAGTCTTAGCACTAATACCCACAGTGATGGTGCTGGCCCAAGCTCCCCCAGGCATAGCACCAATACCCTCAGTGCTGGTGCTGGCCCAGACCCAGCCCCACCCCCCAGCCCCAGTGCTGACCCAGACCCAGCCCCCAGCCCTACTGCCAGCCCAGACTCTCCTAGGGACACTACCCAAACCACCACAAAAACAGTAAATATACAACCATCATTGCACAAGACCGTGGCCCACAGTACAGATGTTGGAGAGGAGTCTCCTCCTTCTTCCTCTACTGGGGAAAGTAGATGGAATCCAGGACGGGGTGGCCCTGGCTTGGATACTGAGGATTATAGTGCAGTCCCAGAACCTGCAGAAATTGACAACACACCTCCCAACAATTCTCAACCAAAGGTGAATTTGTGCAAATATTATGCTTGGGGCATCTGTAAGCATGGAATAACAGGGGAAAAAAAATGGGACATGCTACTTTGACCATCCCAAAAAATGTAGCGACCTCCTGTCTAAAGGAGTGTGTCGTTCTTCTTCCTGTACTTTCTTTCACCCAAAAATGTGCCACTCCTCGGTCCTCCAGAAGCAGTGTTACAACATCGAATGCCCTGCATACCATCTAAAAGGGACCACGAGGCACAGACCCCACAAGACAAACAACAGTAGCTACAACAACCCAACTCCAGGTGATTTTTTAGTGGCAGGAAACGAAAAAAGAAAATGGAAGGAAATAACAAAAATAGTCCATCACCTTGGAGCCTTGTTGGACTGGAGGCGCAGCCAGTGGCCACCCATGGCCCTCCAGAATTATTACAACTACTGATGCCAATAACAAAATCCCCCAACAAACACAGAATACAACCTCGTTCATATTTGTTAATATACAGGGCCTTAAGCCATCCACCAACAACAAAATACCTTTTATCAGTGGACTTCTAGTGGAGTCTAATGCAATGTTTGCAGCCTTCACAGAGACTCACACAAAAGATCACTTTGACAGTGAAATATGGATAAGTGGCTACAACCTTTTTAGATGCGACAGAAAAAAACAGGCAACAAGGGGGGGTTGGCCTGTATGTCAAAGAGTCCCTTATCTGCACGGAGTTGCTGAACACCACAAATGAGGTAGTTGAAGTTCTATCAATAAAGATCGAGAACCAAAACCTAGTCATTGTGGTTGTATTCAAGCCACCAGATGCAACCTCCCAACAGTTCAAGGAACAGCTACTGAAAATCGATTACTGTTTGGAAAACCTTCCAGCTCCATCCCCAAACATCTTACTGCTTGGTGATTTCAACCTAAGGCATACAAAATGGAAGAATGTAGCAAATAATGTTATAGCTGAAACAAACCCCGGAGGTAGCGCAGATGAAATGTCACACACACATGAGCTACTAAGTCTCTGCGAAAAACACACCTTAAGCCAGCAGATAGTGGAGCCAACAAGACTAGAAAACACACTTGACCTTATCTTCACAAATAATGAGGACCTGATAAGAGACATAAGAATATCAAAAACAACTAATTCCGATCACAATCTAATCGAAGTCCAGACGTACATGCATAGGGGTTCTGAACAACAGAATGCATGTACCTGTGAAGGTGTCTTCACAAAATACAATTTCAACAACAAGAACATCAACTGGGACCAGGTAAACCATGTCCTAAACGAAACATGTTGGGAAGATGTCTTAAATGACATGGACCCAAACCAGTGCCTTGAAAGGATCAACTGCCTGGTAGCCGAAGCATGTTCTAGGCATATTCCCCTGAGAAAGAAGAAGAGCAGGAGTAAACTGGAGAGAAAAAGACGCTCCCTCTACAGAAGACGACGAAGAGTCACTGAGCTCCTCAGGAGTGCTAGAATATCTGATACACGAAGGGAGGCGCTGACCAGGGAAGTGGAAACTATAGAACTTAAGCTAAATGACTCTTACAGGAACCAGGAGAGGCAGGAGGAGCTTAAAGCTATTAGTGAAATTGAAAGAAATTCCAAAATATTTCTTTTCATATGCCAAAAACAAGGCAAATACCACATCTAGTATCGGGCCCTTACTCAGACAGGATGGGACTTACACAGACGACAACAAGGAAATGAGTGAAATATTGAAATCCCAGTATGACTCTGTGTTTAGTGAACCACTAATCGGTCTGAGGATCGACGACCCAAATGATTTCTTCATGAATGAGCCTCAAAACTCCATAAATGTATGCCAGATTTCCGACATTACTCTAACTCCGATAGATTTCGAAAATGCCATTGACAACATGCCTATGCACTCAGCCCCGGGCCCAGACTCGTGGAACTCTGTTTTCATTAAGAACTGCAAGAAACCCCTCTCGCGTGCCCTAAGTACACTATGGAGGAGGAGCTTGGACATGGGTGAAATTCCACAGTCACTTAAAACAACGGATATAGCCCCACTCCATAAAGGTGGCAGCAAAGCATTAGCTAAGAACTATAGACCAATAGCTCTGACATCCCACATCATAAAAATCTTTGAAAGAGTTCTAAGAAGCAGGATTGCAAATCACCTGGATTCCCAAAATCTGCTCAATCCAGGGCAACATGGGTTCAGGGCAGGTCGCTCCTGCCTCTCACAACTACTGGATCACTATGACATGGCCTTGGATGCACTGGAAGAAAATCAGAATGCAGATGTAATATACACAGACTTTGCAAAAGCATTTGACAAATGCGATCATGGCGTAATAGCCCATAAAATACGTGCTAAAGGAATAACTGGGAAAGTGGGGAGATGGATCTTCAACTTCCTAACAAATCGAACACAAAGAGTAGTGGTCAACAGAGTTAAATCGGAGGCTGCCATAGTGAAGAGCTCTGTTCCACAAGGCACAGTACTCGCCCCATCTTATTCCTTATCCTCATATCAGACATAAACAGAGATATACACCACAGCACCGTATCATCCTTTGCGGATGATACTAGGATCTGCATGAGGCTGTCATCTGCTGAGGACGCGGTTAACCTCCAAGAAGATATAAACAAAGTTTTCCAGTGGGCAACGGTAAACAATATGATGTTCAATGAGGACAAATTCCAACTACTCCGTTATGGAAAACTGGAGGAGATAATAACTAGAACAGAGTATACTACTGACTCCGGCCATACAATAGAGCGGAAAAATAATGTAAGGGACCTGGGAGTAGTAATGTCTGAGGATCTCACTTTCAAGAATCACAACAGTGCCACGATCGCACGTGCAAAGAAAATGATAGGATGGATAATGAGAACTTTCAAAACGAGAGATGCAAAGCCCATGATGATCCTTTTCAAATCACTTGTTCTCTCTAGGCTGGAATACTGCTGTACATTAACATCTCCATACAAAGCAGGTGAAATCGCAGATCTAGAGAGTATACAGAGATCCTTTACTGCACGTATAAGTTCTGTCAAGC